AACTTAAAATTCTTTCAATTTCGTGCCCATTATCACATTCAAGTTCTCTGTTTGCCTACTACTCACGGTGAAAAATCTTTGCAGCTGAAATCAAGAACTTCATATCTTCCTATCTCAATCAAGATAACTCATAACGTGAAGATCATCAGATTTTTTAAGTTGTCGTTTTCCTTCCTACTCATATTATGTCCCATTCATATTATTCTCGTACTAGGACGAAACGACCGTTTATTGCTTTAAGGTTTTCAATAGATGTTAAGCTTGTATTGACTCGTGACTTTATTTGTTCAAATGTTAATGAATAGTCACAGACAATACATTGGAAAACGTTGTTTTTTATTGATAACTCCGGCTTTCATTTTATTGATATTTTAACATGAGTGAACCGAAATATTTATTTCGGCCCAGTGGGTTCACAAGTCAATACACAACTTTTTCGGATGAGGTACTGAACTACATCGGAACGACATATTTACAGATTCAGTGTATAACTATCAGTTTAGAGGAGTACGGGTTTCGGAATTTCTGGATACTTCGATTGCTGTGATAATTGCTCTGAATATTGTCTCGAAGAAGTCTGTTTCTATTTCACTGTTACAACGAAATGTGTTGCCTCGGTGAATGATGATTAGCTTTGTGAAACTGCAAAAACTTTCTGCGATCCACATATCAACAAAACTACACCTGAACACAGTTTCTCTAAGCTAGAAGGCACAAAATGTGCGCCTCATTAAGTGAATTTATCGTGTCCTCTGTGGGAAATCAGTTCAGAACTGTACAAGTTGCCATACCTCGTTAGCACAACAAGATGTACACTGGATTCATAGAAGTAATTAATTTAGTGGTGGTAGTATATAAATTATAGGTTGTATATAAGGATATAGTAATAGGAAGGAAAAAAGTTATGGAGCAATTTTAATCTCAAGGTTTAAAGGAAGATAAGTATGTGTATACACCTACGCGATTGTGATCGATTCTGAGCCATGTCACCCAGAGTCTCCAACCATTGATTACGATAGTCACGAGAACCCCAATCAGGTAGTCTGCATCTGCCAACATGGCTCAGACTAGAAGTTGGTGACTTCGAGCACTGATGCCATGTTTTGGTTTGTCCGCCCCTTACTTTCTTCCAGCCATCCCCTACACTAGTCAGCATTGCGCGTCATAGCTACAAAAAGAAGTAGTCAAATTGGGCAGTGAGTGACTGAGTATACGAGTGTGTATTTTATTAGTGTTATTCAATTGTGGGTAAATTATTGATTGCCTATATTGACATTCAATGGGAGGATAGATAAAGATTAAAAAAAGCCAGAATAAATATTGATGCTCAATAATATTAATTAGGGTGTTTGAACATCTACCAAAATGGTTGCAGAAACGAATAGCATCAAATGATCTGTTAAGAGTAGAGGATAGACATCCATTATCCTCTATTGCCAAACATATAGTTGAAACCGGTCATAAGATTATAAGCAACGATGGACAGTGGCTAGCAGTGGAATGCTGTTTGACGCGCGTTTTGTCCTATTTGGTACTCGTCAAATAGATGTATTTGCATCTCAGAGTTGGTGTTCACTCTGGGACTCGAACGCAGTACCGTTCGCGCGTCCTGAATTCCACTTTTAGCCACTATCCATCTTTGCTTATAATGCTTGTGAATTAAGGCTATATAGAGGCAATACGCACAGTATGCACATATACCAATAAGAGACTGATCAACTGCAGTTCTAAAAAATTAATGGGAATATTCAAACAAACAATACTAAACGAATTGAGGTTATAATATTGATGTAAACCCCCTTTAGTGTTTTCAAAAACAATTTGTTCTCTCCTTAAACCTACTCTGGTAATAATAACTTATTATTTAGAGTGATTTGGTGTCAAATAGTTTTCACATTAGTTTTATTATTATTATTATCCTTGTCTCCTCTTACCCCCCATTTCCATTATAGTTGACCTTTTATTTTTATATATAAATGTTCCTTACAAGTATATGTGTGATCAGATTGTTCGAAATGTATTACGCTAATATTATCACCACATAATTCTGATAATCTTCGTCTTCTTCTTATTACATTATCGAAATTAGGGACTAATTGCTTTAAAAAATAATATGCACTAATCATACAATTTATCTTATCTGTCTCTGAACTCCCCTCAAATAATACACCACCCATCTTTGATGTGTCCTATATTCTAACACCTAATAACCTCTGACCTGTTCTTGCATGTATATAATATATATGATTATCATTGACAACCAAAATTGATTGATTACTGGGTGGTGATCAATGTCATGTATGTCAAGTCCGTCTTAGTACTGATCGAATGATATCCATCAAGTTGCAATGTGGCCACTAGTCTAGGTGGCTCTACAATGCGTGCACTATGTTAAGGTAAGATGGTGGTTGGAAATGGTCAACAGGAAACCATGGACCCGTGTTTCGTGCTACTCGGCACTCATCAGCAAGGTGTACCTGTAATCTTGAGGGAACTAGTGCTCCCTGATGTATTCCATCCCGTGTCACCCAGCTTCACAGTCAGTGACGTTACCACTGAGCTATTCGGGACGGTCGGGCCGACCTCCTGTAAAACTGAGATGTAATCACAATTGATTGATCACTGGGTGGTGATGAATGTCATACGTGTCAAGTCCTTCATAGTCCTGATCGAATGCTATCGATCAATGTGGGTCCAGGTTTTCCTGTAGACCATCTTCAATCACCATCTTATCTCACTATAGAACACGCAGTGTTCATCCACCTAGACTACTGGCCAATTCAATTAGACTTATACATACTTTGATATAGTGAATTAATTCTCAAAATTACAACGAGTAGTTAGTGAAAAGTTCTCTGAGATTACTAAAAGAGAAAAAATGATCTCAAGTATCAGGGTATCAATCAGGACAATATTAGTAGTAATAAATATGAATAAAGGGTAAACATTGAATATTCACATGAAGAAATGTCAAAGATTCTACTCATCTTACAGCCTATGAAATAGATTTCCATGAAACTGGTTGACTTTGTGAATGAAATAGATACTGGACTTTGTTTGTATAGATCCCCGATAATCACACTGTTGTTCAATAGATGAGACAAATCACTTCCGGACAGAAATTATTCGATGAGACTTTTAAACTGCGTTTTAGTTTTACTGTGATGTATGATTGATGTGAATAATTAGATTGTGAAAAATATATGCCAAAGGAGATAGGAAAACGACAAACAACTACGAAATGTGAAACGATTGGTGAAATCGTTTTTTTTTCATTCATACGGATCCAAGGAAGGGTCAGGATTGTCTCGAATTTCTTCTAAACACATAAACTAGAGTTATAGTATCTGATTTTAGAAATTTTTGCTCTGTTTAGATGGGGACATCAAACCCTACTAAGAATTGACGAAAGTAAACGACGGATCACTTAAACCGACTTGATTTTATCTATTATATGACCTCTATTAACATGCTTTGAGAAGATGGAGCTATATCGTCTTCTAATTCTGTCAGTCAAAGTTGACATTAATGGTTTTGTTGTGGTGTAACTTTACATGAAATGGAGAAGTTACAACCTATGGTGTTACTTTTGTGAAAACGTTTTAATGATAATTATAGTTTCTGAAAATGTCTAATTCAGTGTATTAATCAATGAGAATATAAATTTGAGGGTATTTTCTTTTTAATTTGTTGTGTTTCCACCTCCTGACTGACTCTCTTACGCCTATTACCTACAATGGAGCATAGGCCACCAACCAGTATCTTCCAATCCACCCCGTCCTGAGCCTTCCTTTCTAGTTCTATCAGATCCTCAATTTCGCAGTACAATGTGGTGTTTGATTTTCCTCTTCACCTATGACCTTCACGATCCCATGTGTGTGCTTACATTGTGACGCACTTGGCTGCTTTCCTCAACGTGTGTCCTATCTCATTTCAGCTCTCCTTCCTGATTTCTTCCTCAACTGGAATCTGTTTGTTCTCTCCCACAGTAGGTTTTTGTTGATAGTCTCTGACCAACGGATCCCAAGTATTCTACATGGATAACTGTATATATATAGTTGTGTCTTCTGGATGATGGCTTTCATAGTTCTCCACGTCCCCGACCCATACAGTAGAACTGTTTTGACATTTATATTATAAATTCTTATCTTGGTGTTGGTTGGCAATTGTTTTGAGTTCCAGTTTCTACCTCCAAATACAACCAAATACTATTTACTATTTATATTTTGATGATTATTCAATGTAATAAAAATTCAAGAATATTTCAGTTGTTAATAATTTAAATCTCAACTGATACATATAAGATTATGTAACATGATGAAGCCTAGTAAGCCCTTCTGAAGAATAGTACTATATCGAAGCACGACACAATTACCGGTGCTCAATAGTTGTTTTTGCATTGATTACCCAAAATCATTACATCATTCTTTTATTATTTTTTTGGGGCAGACTCTTTTTTTCCTTCTTTTTGAACCAACAATAATTATGCAATAATACTTTTTAGTAATCGTAATCATTTATGGCTATAGATAGAGTAGATGATTAAGCCGATCTTCACCATCCGGATTACAGCTAACGTTAGTTCATTAAAAAAAACAAAAACAAGGAGGTATGACGAGGAAGTGTGTCTAGGGGGTTTTACCACCTCTATAAGATTATCTTTAAAATGAATAATATCATAATCATAAATATCACATGAGTCCAAAAGTTGGCATAATAAACTTGAAAAATTTACACTTTCCTCTTTTTCCTTCTTCCAAAAACCAGTACTAAATTTAATTGAGAATCATAAGTTTCTCAATTCTAAGTAACCATGATATTAGTTTATAATTTTAGTATATAAATGAAATGATTACCATAATAAAAACTATTACGTAATAGATTAATAACCCTTATCATTGTATCTAATGGAAATGATAGCTTGTTCAAGAAATCTCTTGTTGTTACTATGCTTTATCATCTTAATAGGGTTTACATATACTGAATATATTTGTCAAATTATGCCAAATATTTCAATGGTAAGTATTAAGATGATTTTAAAGAAGTTTTTTTTTGATAGAATTTTGGTATCTTAGGGGAACCGATTGATAAACGTCAATATGGTGGAAGTCGATTGAAATTTATTGTTATATATAGAGAAAGTATTCAAAGGCATAATTTATTTGGTCAATTCAAAGTAAGACTAATTTTGTGTTTAATTTCTTCTTTTATTATATAATTGTATTGTTTACTCTGAATCACATTTCATTACTTATCTTTATGGCTGGCTTCAGGAAGTATTTCTTGAAATTCTTTTGAAAAGCAGTAAACGGTGGAGTTCAACCGGATCTGTTGTGAGATAATAACTCACTGAAGACCATTGTGAACGGATGTTCAGTTTCGTGGATTGGTTGAAGTTAGACATTAACACCGTAGGATGCCAACCAGCTCAGTGGTCTAGAGTTTAAGTGCTCAGGCGCGAGACTGGTAGGTCCTGGCTTCGAATCTCGCAAGTGCGGTATCGTCAATGCGCACTACTGATGAGTCTCACAATAGGATGAGTTGGCCGATCAGTGCTTCCAGGTTTTCCATGGTGGTTTAGCTTCAATTGACTCATGATCTCAACAATATAAAATTACTAAAATTTCCACAAAACTGCCTTCTTGGTTAATTGTTATTATGTATGTCAATTGATTATTCAGTGTATTGACAAATTCGAAAGACAACCATTACTCACTAAAATGTCAATGTCTATTAGCTATCTGTCTTGAAATAGAAGTTCTAGTTATTAATGAATACTTCATCAGTTGGATCAGTATTGAACAGCTTAGTTTAATAATATATGGGATCATTGGAAGACATTTTAACACGATCTTAATTGAGTTTTTGTTCACTATATACAAGAAATAATCAATGAATATTTTTTCTTACTTACTTACTTGCTTACACTTGTTACCCCTCATAGAGGAGCATAGACCGTACACCAGCATTTCCATCCAACTGTATTGGGCAATTCTTTTCAGTTGTTTCTAGTTTCTATTCATTTTGAATTGAAGTTTTGTAATTCTAATGATAGATGTCAAGTTTATTAAGGATAGACTTAGAAATGTATCATTAAATACAATAATAGGATTGCTGTTGAAATAGCTTACTTAAACTTCATTTTAATGAACTGTATAATAAGGAAATCAACTAAGTGTTTTATAATCGGTATTTCAATAAGGCGTCTATGTAATTCTGTTAATCATGGATTAGTTGAAGTTACAAATTAACACCGTCGGATGCCGGCCAGCTCAGCGATTTAGTGTTTAGGCGCTCGTGCATGAGACTAATAGGTCCTAGGGTTCGAACGTCGAGGGACGAGATCATGTCCCATAATATGACGAGTTGGCTGTACAGTGGTTCCATATTTTCCATGACGGTCTAGCTTCAATTAACATATTCATTATTTTACAAAATATTTACTTTCATTTTTACAGAGGTTGTGTTGAACCAGTCTTTTATACAGATGGTAGAACAGGTAAAATTTTCTGTAAATCACAGTGTTAACAGAAAGCTCTATGTTATGATCATCCAGTTCCAGATCAATATGCTTCTGTTAGTTTACATTACAAAAGACACTTTATAATAATCGATTAAGCAAAGAAGAAACATTCTTACATTTTCAAAGATACCAGTTATAACTATATATTCGACGAGATTATCATTCATGGACGACCTTTAAACATATGTTGAGTGACCTTGAGAAATACTAGCCACTCAGAAAACAGTTAGTATTTAGTAAAAATATATTATACAACACCACAGAATGAGAGTGAGTACACTTCTTTTATATGGTCCGAAAACTTGTCAAGGTCAGAACGAGATTCAAAGGTTCTAGAGTTTTAACGCATAAGGTAGAAGAACGTATCCATGTGGCTCCATAATATTCGGTCTCTGAAGCCATGATAAGGTCACAAAACCCTCTCAGCTTCGACCACATAGTTTCTTTATTGTTTGTATGTACTCCAATTGTGTAAGTTCATCATTTTTATCATGGATATGTGTAATGCCGCGTTTCGTTAATCGTTCGTTACGATAACCGATATAATTCTAATCATAACGGCGCGTAAAATCAGAAGACAAAGGATAGCAGCAACTGCAGTTTATTGTCGAATAACTCAGGTCAGAAAGTTAGCAACACCTGAGCGAACAATCACGAGCGAGTGAACAGGCGAATAAGCAAAGGAAGCGAAGGAGGCAGAAATGACATGCATGGGAGATGGCTGAGAAGCCAACTAGAGAGCGAGGCGAAAGATGATGCGTATTGGAGATGGCTAGGAAGGCAACTCGATTTAAGCAAGCGTTAATCAACATTTATAGTCGGACAAAAATGAGTGACAGACATACGATGAATAAGATACGAAGTGTAAACATATATGCTCGTATAAAAGTATAGTCAAGGTTAGTAAGCAAATGATTAACAAGATCAAAATATGACTCATAATGCATAGGCGAATTTGCTTGGCTAGCAACTAGAATAAAGTATATGGGCTTAACATATAAACTGATACTACATATATCCCTAAAATACTCATACCACTGGACAGACAAAGCTTCAGTAACATCTGCGATTATTTCAGCCAATGTTACTGAGGATTTTATCAAACAATTCGCGGTAATTATTATAATTTGCCTTAGTTTCAATCTGGATCGTGCGATAAAGGTTCCTATTTCAGCAAAAGTCTTCCTTCAACATATATTACATCGAAGAACAACATCACGGTAGAGTGCACAATGTCTACAAGTCATTTGATTACTACAACTACAAATAAAGGAGCTTCTTAATAGCCCATCTATTGTAACCGCTGAATTGTCAAGTCTTCTCTAAAATCTTCTGTTAACCAATTGTACATGAACATCAGGTACTGAAAATGGCGCTTTGACCTTGAAATCCCTCAAACGCTTCTAATTGGCTCGTCCATAAATTATAGTCATGCTATATATCCTCCTTTCAGTTTTTAATTAGTATATGGATCTTATATCATGAACATTTAGATCGAAATAGAATAGAATAAGAAAACTTTCTATTTCATCTTATTATTCTACTTGATTTCCTGTTTTCACATACTACTTAAGTATCTAATCAAGCCTTTTTTCTTTCTCTTTTCAAATAACAGGGATGTGCTATGGGAAGTGGAGGTGGTGATATGACAGATGTTCATCAAGATGGTCCATGATTTGCACCAAATGAGCGAGCGCTTAACCACCAGACCACTGAGTCGGCATCCGATGTTGTTTATGTCTAACATCAACTAATCCTTTCAGTACTTCCAGACCTTCCATGATGGTCTAGCTTCAATTGACTCATAATTTCAACTATATAATATTACTATAATCTCCACAAAACCCCTTCTGACCTAAAAATTAGTCAATGATTATAAGTAAATTTCATGTTTACTACTTCTCAGTAGTGAATTAGTTTATTGTACAAATTTCTAGCTATATGAAAATACGCGTGGCAGAACAGTTAACATGTTTTGTATCTTAGATGGTTAAACCCTATTACAGCTAATTGTCTTAGTAATACATTGAATACGAAGAATATGGATTTACAATATCTCAACGAATGAACTTGATGGTAAGTCTAACGTTTTGACTGACAATCTGGTTCAAGCTTCCTTCCTTTTTAATGTCTTACACCAACTCCTTAACAGTGCTGATCCACAATCCGATTCGAACTCAGGATCTTTTTTTCGCGCGCAAGCGCTTAACCACTAGACTCTGAGCTTCTCGGCTTCCTGCGCCAAGATCATGTGTTCTTACATCAACTCAGCGCTCAAATACTATGAAACTATTTGCTCTAATTTAGTCAAAAGTTCTTTTATTTCAGTAGTATATATGATATACTATGGTTTAAAAATTTGTTATAATAATCTGCTTTTCAATAAATAAAAGAATACTTTGTTCTTGAACTTACTTACTTACTGTTACTTCCAATGGAGCATAGGCCGCCGACTAGCATTCTCCAACGCACTCGGTCCTAGGCCTCCCTTTCTAGTTCTATCCAATTTTTGTACATTCTTCTCATATCTGTCTCCATTTCTCGGTTTGGACTTACTGTATTCTTATTGAAATGAAAATTTTTTAAAAACATTATAAGGATTTGTAAAATCGAATTTTGCTTTGATGCGTGATCCAGAAGGTAACCCAAGAACACCAAGAGATCCTAAATCAGGTAGACCACTTCTAAATAAAGAAAGACAATATACTGCAAAGTAAGATATTTAGATGACTATAATTTCATGTTTGTAGTGTAATATAATTTTTTTTTAATGTCTATACTTTTGTTTGGTCTCTAACTGTTTACGAATTGAGTAGTTATGAAGATCGGGATTACTTATCAACTAATGATGTAAATATTGTTCCTTCATGTGTATCATTGGTTTGATATCAGAATTTCACAACTCTCCTAGGTGTAATTTTCGTGTCCATTAACCCGGGTAAAGCGTCAGACATTCGCTTTTCGTCCTCTTAGTTTTGTAAATAACACCCCCGCCACTGTAAGAAGGCAGCTAGTCGGACGTCCCTGGCAGAGGCTGTATAAGCGTGGCCATGTGAAAGCATTTTGAGAGGGAGAGTGGACTCTCCCCACCAGGGCATTTACGAGCTGTATTCATCAAAATAGACCTGCTTCAAATATCATACTACAATCTTTTATCTTCACATATTTTTGTTCCAAAATCAGGCTTTTACTATTTATATTTTATATTATTTTTCAGTGAAAATACAGTCAGAATAATCAACCGTCCATGGGTTACAGCTGCTGGAACATTTTCAAAACCTTTCATGTCTTTTGTTACACCTACTTTGCTTGTAAGTTCTATCTACATAAACTCATGCGAATCTTTTGTCACTTACGTCCTTTAAGTCAGTTTCTTAGCTATTTGTTATTAGAAACTTCAGTTGTTTACATTGCTCGATAATGCATAGGTTTGTTTAAAAAAACGTCCGGATATATTCGAACTACTAGTGAACTGAAGACTAATTACTAAGTTTGTGGAGATCTGATTGGAATGTCAGGTCTCACTGAAACAAATCTCGAATTACTTCACATCTAAGTATAAGATATTGTCAAAATACTCTATGCTGGGTACATTGTATCAACATGGATTATAGAGGATATTCCTAATTTTCACTGTATCACAAAGTTGAAAAAACGGAAGATTCACTTTTCAGACCTTCCGTGGTGGCAAATATTTTAATCGTAAGCAAAGATAGACAGTGGCTAACAGTAGAATCTAGTTCGATGCGCGTTTCATCCTATTTGGGGCTCGTCAGCTGGATGTACCTGTTAAAGTTCACTCTATGACTCGAAACCCGTACCTTTCGCTTGAAACGCCATCGCGTTATCTACTCGGCCACTGAGTCCTGATAGCCACTTGCTTGTCAAAACAGTCAGTGTAGCAGTAATCTCTCCATCAGCAAACCTCAATATACACAAGGAAAAAAGAAATATCCTCAGACACAACGAAGAGAAAACCGACGTAATCACATTTGATGGAGAAACTCTGCAACAAATGGAAACTTTCGCATACCTGAACAGTATCATCGATAAACAAGAAGGATCTGATGCAAGTGTGAAGGCATGAATCGGCAAAGTAAGATCAGGATTCTTACAATTGAAAAACGTACTGCACTCAAAGTGACTATCAGTCTGCATCCAAGTCAGAATCTTCAATACGAACGCTAAGACAGTTCTGCTGTTCGGAGCTGAAACTTCTAGAACTACTACAACCATCATGAAAGAGGTACAGGTATTTATAAACAATTGTCTTCACACGATAATCAATGTCTGTTGACCGGATACCATGAGTAACAACCTACTGTGGGAAAGAATAAACCGGCTTTTATCAGAAGAGAATATAAGGAAAAGTCGTTGAAGGCGGTTAGTACATGCATTTCGGAACTCATCAAACTGCATCACGAGGCAAGAGCTAAATTGGAATCTTAAAGGGAATCGAAAAAAAGGAATGCCAAAAAACACACTGCACCGCAAACGGGAAGCAGATGTCAGAAGAATGAATAGTGGTCGGAAACAAATGAAAAACTTTGCCCAGAACAGAGTTCGATGTAGGATCATAATATGAAAACTAATAGAGAGAACGTTATCATTTTAGTCCTTCTCAAAGATTTCATGATTTGTTGTTTCCTCGAAATATGATAAATTTAATTCATTTACAATGACCAATAAGTAATGATATGGAGTCTGTTATTTCCCTGAGATTATCTAGTGTTAACTGTTCATAAATATAAATCATTCGATGTTATTATCTCATTAGACCTAAAGTAAAAGACTGTCAAACAATCTTTCGATAATTATAAGCAAAGATGGATAGTGACTAGCAGTGGAAACCAGTGGGCGTGTTTCGCCCTATTCGAGGCTCGTCAGCTGCATGTGCCTACACCTCACAGTTGCTGTTTACTCTGAGACTCGAATTCAGTGCCGCTCACTTCAAACGGCATCGCGTTATCCTCCGAGCTACTGAGTCCTGATAGCCACTTGCTTTTGCAATGAGGTGAACTTTGAATTCACTTAGTATTATTTGGTTGAATCTTTTGAAAACGTAATTTAATATTTGTAATATATATAAATAGTATGTATATATTGCAGGATGAAACAATGGCGGGTGTTACTGGAGTGAAATCTGTACTTTCAAGGCTTACATTGGTATTCTTCACAGATTCTGGGTAAGTTAATACAATTCAGATAATAATGTTATCTAATTCACTTAGTATTACTTGTTTGAATCTTTCCATTGATGTATAAGGACTGCAACTGGTCAGTCTCTTATTGGCATATGTGAATACTATGCGTATTGTCACGATATAGCCTTAATTCACAAGCATTGTAAGCAAAGATAGATAGTGGGTAGCAATGGAATTCAGTTTGACGCGCGTTTCGTCCTATTTGGGACTCGTCAGTTGCATCTAATGTTTCATCTGATTCTTTTATGATCATACCGATTTTATCTGAACTTTAAAGTTTGTTATACTTTTCATAAACTAATAGCAGGGTTATATATTTGACTGTTTCAATGACTGATAATACTTCATTTAAATTTATAATTAGCTTGGACGATTTGTGTTCAATTCAATACTGTAACTGTGTAATATTCTAGAGTACTATCATTGTTAAGTCTGAGGTTGTAAACAACTTACTTACTTTACTTACGCGTGTTATCTTTTGTGAAGGAACATAAGCCAACTAACAAAATTCTCCATCCATCTCTATGAAGGATAATCTTTTCCAATTTTTTCAATTTTTTTTATGTCTACTTCCATTTCCTGAGGTAGTGTGTTCATGGGCCTTCCATATTTCCGTTTCCATTCAGGATTCCAAGTTAGAGCTTGCCTCGTGATGCAGCTCGATGTGTGTTCTACTCCCTTACAACTTCTTTTCTTAATTTATTTCTCATCTGGAAGTTGATTTGTTCTCTCTCACAGTAGGCTGTTGCTGATGGTATGTGGTGAACGGACATTGAGTATCTTATATAGACAACTGTTCTTAAATAGTTTTACTTTTTTAATGATAGTTATAGTAAGTCATCAAGTCTCAGCTCTATACAATAGAATTATTTTAACATTGAATATTCTGACTTTGATATCTGCATATAGACAGTTGTTTTGAGTTCTATATATTCTTCAGCTAAATGAATATTGTCTTTGTTTTGTCAATCCTCGCTTTTACGTCTGCATCAGATCCTCCTTGTCCCAGAGTTTCTTCATCAAGTATGATTACGTTGGTGTCCCATGTTTCGCATTTGAGGACCTTGATTTTTCTTTCTTGTAAATTGAATCTTACTGATGCAGAAGCTGCTGCTACATTAGTTTTCTTCATCTGCATTTGTTTGTATATATGGGATAGGAGAGCTATGTCATCTGCGGAGTCCATATTTTCTAATCGATTCCGAGCTGTTCATTGTATTCCCTGTTTCCTCTCAAATGTCATGGTCTTCATAATCCAGTCAACTACAAGAAGTAATAAAAACCGGAGAGTAAGCAACATTTGACAACTAATCTTGTTTAAAATACTTGGATTCATGATATAACTACTGAACTAGAAAGCAAACAGTTAACCAAAACATAAATTTTTTATTACAAACAATATATTGTCTCTTAGCTAATGAATGACTATCCTTGAAACCGATAGTCTTTTTACTTACTTACTTAAGCCAGTTACTCCCAATGGAGCATAGGCTGCCGACCAGCATTCTCCAACCCACTCTGTTCAGATCATTCCATTCTATTTCTATCTAATTTTTGTTCATTCTTCTCATGTCTGTTTCTATTTCTCGGCGTATGGTGTTCTTTGGTATTCCTTTTCACCTATAGTCTTAAGGATTCCATGTGATGAGGGCTTGTCTTGTGACGCAATTTGATGATTTTCTCAAAGTGTTCCCAATTCACTTTCAGCGCTTCTTCCTGATAGTCTTTATAGTCTCACATAAACTATGAACCACTTAAAAAGTGAATATCAGTTATTCCTAATGTATAAAACGAATTCGAACCATAAATTCATTCCACCATATTTCATCATTTTTTTCTTTTCCTCTCAATTCATTTAGTTGGTGGGATGTTGACTATTCATTAGCTGAACCATGGTATTATGGAAAGAATTTAGGTTGTAGCTTTGTTATGGAAAGTTGTTATCCCTACATGATGCGAATGAAACAAGCGTAAGATCAATTTTGTTATTATTATTATTATTGAAATGGTTGTCTGGTTGGCAACAATCTTCGATTATATTTTTGGTATGAATTGTTGATGGGTTGTTTCTTATTTTAGAGGAAAAAGTACGGAACCCTACTGTGATGAACCAGTTACTTTAAAATGCTATCATCAAAAAGCATTTGTGCATATTTGTGCTGTTGTACGATTTACTCAACGCTTGCCACCTACTGAACAATATTTCAGTGATCCTAGTCAAGGAGGAACTAGCGCATTAAACGATAGATGTCCATTGATTCAAGTTACTACTTTATTGATTTTATTCTTAATATAAATATGATGCTCTTATCTATGATCCCCACTTATCTAAACTGATTGGAATCATTCATTTAATATGAATGTTATGAAAATGTATTCTAAAAAGTTTAAAAGAAACTTCTCAAATCATTGGACAAACGTTATTAGAAGAATTCACTTAGTATTAGAAGGGGTTTTGTGGAGATTTAGTATTTTCACAGTTGAAAGCGTGATTCAATTGAAGCTAGACCACCATGGAAAACCTGGAAGCACTGGACGGACAACTCATCCTGTTATGGGACTCATCAGCAGTGCACATCCACGATCCCACACTCGCGAGATTCGAACCCAGGACCTACCAGTCTCAAGCCAGGGCCCTTGACCGATAGACCACTGAGCTGGTTAGAATTTTGCGAGTGCGGGATCGGGGATGCGCACTGCTGAGAATTCCGATAATAGGACGAAACGGTCACTTAGTATTGTGTGTTTAAATCTTCCCATTGATGTTTAGGACTACAACTGGTCAGTCTTTAGTTGACATATGTGCATACTATGCGTATTGCCTCGATAGAACCATATCCATCATTGGCTATAAGAAGAATTTACGCTAATTTAAATCCCATTTTCTACACCTTGACGTTTCAGTAAAATTTTTGAGTGTTTACAGATTGTAGGAATGTATGCATATGGTAAATGTTGAATATACTACTAAGTTCTATACATTTGATTGTTTGTTTTCATCACAGAAGAGTCTCTGTAAGCGTATTAATGAAAATTAGTAAGTCTAAAATGGCTGTATTATCTTAGTATGAGACTATCCAGCATTACACAATGAGGTTGGAGTTATACCGACGAACCCTCACCCAGTAGTTTTAGTAGGTAAACATTATCCTTAAATTCTGAAAGTCCCCTTTGCGACTTATGTTGAGGTTGTGTTAGTCCACTTCACTGCGATCCCATACTAAACAATGACGTTTGAATAAAGCTCCTTGGTCTTTAGGTATACTCCAATTGGGAAAAATGAATGACGAAAGGAACCCACTAATTCAACAAATAGTCAGTAAGCGGCTTCAAAGACTGAATGCTAAGATCCATCCTATAGATTGATCAGATTGCTGTTGTTACTGTTTATCCAAGTGTTTAATGGATTGTATTGGAATAAGCTATATGAAAACAATCTATTGAATCATTTTTATCTTGCTTATATTTAGCCATAAATCCGTATTCTTTTCATACATTTTCTTTTATCCTTAAAAATAACAACACCCTATGCGTAGCTTTTTCAATGAACCACTGGTAACATATTGTGATCATCAGCTGAACATTCCTGTCGGTAAGCATTCGGGTAGCTTTCAAATTTGTAATGAAAACTGGTAATCAATGACTATTCAAGAAAATCTAATTCTAGCTATCGATAGTATTTATCAAAAATATATTCATAGTAAAGGATTCATATGAGGTAAAATGTAATAGTTCACTGAATATAGAGATTAATTAACTCTCAATTAAGCCTCAATAAACTTACTTACCTACGCCTGTTATTCACAATGGAGCATAGGCAGCTGACTAGCATTCTTCAACCCCCTCAGTCCTGAGGCTTCTTTTCTAGTTCTATCCAGTTTTTGTTCATTCTTCACATGTCTGTCTTAATTTCTCAGCATAATATGTTGTTTGATCTTCTTCTTCTCCTATGGCCTTCAGGATTCCATGTGAGGGTTTGTCTTGTGATGCAGTTGGGTGATTTTCTCAATGTGTGTCCAATCCACTTCCATCGATTCTTCCTGATTTCTTCCTCCACTAAATGGAATCTGGTTTGTTCTCTCACACATTAGGTTGTTCTTGATACTGTCTGTCCAACAGATCCGAAGTATTTTTCGAAGACAACTGTTAATAAACACTTGTATCTTCTGGATGATGTTTTTCGTAGTTACCCAAGTTTCTGCTACATACAGTAGAACTGCCTTGATTTTTGTATTGAAAATTAATATCTTGGTGTTGATTGACAATTGTTTTGAGTTGCAGATGTTCTTCAGTTGTAAATATGCTGCTCTTGCTTGGCCGACCCTTACCCTCACACCTGCTTCAGATCTGCCTGTAGCTCCTCAAGGTTGGGTATGGAGTTAGCGACCCCATCCCGTAGAAAACCAACTCGCTGAAAAACGCTAACAAGAAAAAAACCTCAATAAAACTTTTGAATAATATTTATGTGAACCGTTTCGATACAAGATTTAATGGCGATTAGTCTTCTAATTGAACGTAATATTCGGTTCCCAAGCTTTTCTAGTAACCCTTAGGCTAAATCTGCACAGCAGCTTGAACACAAGAGAAAAGTCACGAAATATGAGGGATAAGTTTTACTATAAGGTTTTTTTATATACAGAAAATCTATGGTATTTATAGCAACTTAGATGACCTTGGGTTTCCGGAAACTTCTGAAACTCTATTAAACATAATATCAGAATTGATAGTCATCCAATTAGAAACACGATATATGACTTTCTAACTTTCCAGATGTTTCTGACAAACCTTCTATTGAATGCTGATTGAATAAGATGCTTCCTAGCGTTTTCAGAGCCCTTTTCTTGGTCGTTTTTCAAGGAATTTTTCATGATAAGAATATGCAGAACCTTATTTGAATATGAATAGGTTGGTGAATTTTAGGTAATCAATATAAATTTACTTAGTATTACTTAGGGCTCAGTGGCCGAGTGGATAAGCGAAAGTTACTGGGTTCGAGTCCCAGTGTGAACATCAACTCTAAGATGCAGGTACATTCAACTGATGAGTGCTAAATATGACGAAACGCGCGTCGTGGATTCCACTGCTTGCCACTGTTCAATCCAAATAAACTTCATTCATCTATAGCAGCAATGTTAGAAAATTTCATGAAAATTTCTAATAAATAAAATTTTATTTCGATAGCTCAAAGGGGAAATATGTTTGCTCAAGATTTTGGTAATAATTCAATGTGTATTATACATAAAGGAGCATGGAGAGCTGAAATGAATGGAAATGCAACAAATGATCCTCGAGTTAAAGAAACATGTCATCAGGTAATCTTGAAGAAATATTTTATACATTGTTCTATAATAATCGGAACATACATATGTATTATTATAGTTGAAATCATGAGTCAAATGAAGCTAGACTATCATGGAAAACATGTAAGCACTGGACGGCCAACTCTTCTTATTGTGAAACTCTTCAACAATGCGCATCCATCATCTCTCTTCATGAGATTCCAACCCAGGAATATATCAGTCTCGCGCCCGAGCGCTTGACCACTAGACCACTGACCAACTGGCATTCAAAGGTGTTAATGTCTAACTTCAACTAATCCACAAAATTGAGCAACCATTCACTATTGTCTCACAACAGGCCTGGCTGAACTTCGCTGATCACTGCTTCCCACTAGAACTCAAGGAAACATTCCTTACAGTCAGTCACTAGTGAGCATATAATGATAGATCAGAAGGGGTTTTGTGGAGATTACAGTAATTTTATAGTTGAAATCATGAGTTAACTGAAGCTAGACGACCATGGAAAGCCTGAAAGCACTGGACGGCCGTGTCGTCCTACTGTGAGACTCCTCAGCAGTGTATATTATTCATCATATTTCAATGACTATCTTGTTGGTACAAACAGGATTTTATGATACATAACCTTAGACAGAAAACACAGAAATTATCATATATACTTTCACAGAGTGATAATAAGGAATAATATAAATGACTCAAGATTATGATAGATATAGTGTTTTTAAACCTTCATTGTCCTTACCTTAGTAATATTGTACATAATGATTTGTATTCAGATAATGTTGCTTCCCTGGAAACAATTTCCCCTATGATACTGTTTGCATAATACAATAAATAAATATTGTTTTTGAACGTAAAAATCAATATCAACACTAGAAGTAAACTGTTTAACTACTCGTATAACTGTATATGGTTACTTAGATCTACTTATAATGACAATGGTAGTATAGTGAATAAAAACACAAGTAGGGATAATCGAATGTATTTGAGCATAAGATTAAAGACTATCTCACGAAAATCGGACTACCATACAGTAGACAGTTCATTTTCAAACTGTCAATCAATAGTCTTAATTTTGACTGTTCCTTCTGCAAACATCAGTCTATAACCCCCGATTATTATTGCTCATGCATTTTCATACTGATTGAGTTTTGTTCCCATTCTTCCCATATCGATCTTCTACTATAATACATTCAATGCTATTTATGTGGATATAAGTAACCTACACCTCGGAATGGTTATGTTTTCTTTTTACTCCCTTCTTGATCATCAATTCCGTTTTTCTTATATTCATTTCAGTATTCATGTTCTGGTGGTCTTCAAATGATTATTAATGGTAAACCATTCCAGTGTAATTCAGGATTAGCCAAAATTCAAACTAAACAAATTCAAGGAGAAATAATCTGCCCTAATCCTAATATTGCTTGCAGGGTAAAAATAAATATTTGACACTATTTTATTATTAGATTGTAAAGTGGCCGAGTGAATAACGCGATGGCCTTTGAAGCGAGAGGTACTGGGTTGGAGTCACACAGTGAACATCAAATCTGCGATGCAGTTACATCCAGATGACGAGTCCAAAATAGAACGAAACGAGCATCCAACTGGATTCCACTGCTAGCCACTATCTTTGCTTACAATGCTTGTGAATTTAGGCTATATCGAGGCAATACACACAGTATGCACTTATGCCAATTAGAGACTGACCAGTTGCAGTCCTAGAAACATCAATGGGAAGATTCCAACAAACAATACTAATTAAATTTATTTTTTTTATCTGTTCAGAAGTCTTCATTGTCATAAGTCCTTAGATTCATCAAAAACTTGTATTATTTGATTGTCCACTGAAGTTAAACCGTTCGATCAATCAAATAACGACGCACAGAATTGACATCAAAATAGCTTTTAAAACATTGTATACAAATTGTCAGGTTTATTGAAGCCTTGGCTATTCGTAAATCATACAAAATGGATTGATAGCTATACCTTTCTATAATAGCTTACTTACTAACAACTTAACATTTGTCTGGGGTTGTAAAGATTATTGAGTTATTGATTAAGATCATGAATGAATCAGTGTTTGATCACCATTAAAAATCTGGAAGCAAAAGACGGCCATTTCGTCTCATTATGAGACTTCTCAGAAGTGCGTATTCACAATCGCGTACGCGGGTTTCGAACCCTTCAGTCTCTCGCACGAACGCTTCATATCTCACATTCACTATTATAGAGTTTTTTCTCATATTAAATTGCATTACATCATAGTAGATGTATCTATAATAAACAGTTTTTATGAGTAATTCACACAAGATACTGATTTAAGCCATTCATCTATATTCGATATGACAATTCAGATATTGTTAATAAAAACATAAATTTCAATAGTTGAGATCATGAGTCAATTGAAGCTAGACAACCATGAAAAACCTAGAAGCACTGGAGGACCCACTTGTCCTATTTAGGGACTCTTCAGCAGTACGCATTCATGATCCCATATCGTGAGATTCGAACCCAGGACCTATCAGTTTCTAACTTCAATCGGTCCATGAAATTGAGCGACACATCCACCATTGTCTTCAGTGAGTTACAATCTTACAACAGATGCAGTTGAACTCCACTAGTCACTGTTTCCTAATAGAACTCCAGGAAATAACCCTTCTGACATAGTCATAGAGATATAAAGCATTCAAAATATGGAAATCTTCACATTATTTATTAATTACTAAGGTGATCATTGAATGAATAATCGTGTTCCTTTATTCTTTTCTTTTACAGAACAGGCGTAGATCAATTAAACAATGAATAATGCCCTATCAATGCTATAAACTAACGTTAACTTTGACTAATCAATATATCTAAACTACGTTTGAATCTATCTTTCATTAAATATTATTGTCATTATTATCACTTTTTTGTGAAGCATGTATCCCCATGTAGTAGTTAATAAATGTTATATACTATAAGTGGTTTTCTATTATTCCAATTGTGACATTGTCGGGACTATGCCTTATGAACGAACTAATCAGATTTAGGATGATAGGTGTTGGATTTCGACGTGGAATTCACTGACCCATTTGATCAAACAACGTCTTGGCATTTCAACTGATGTCAGTTCATGATGAAAAACCGTAAACTTAATTCCTAACCCTAACCATCAACTATAATGTATGATGCCTATTCTTCAAGCTACTCATTTAACCCAAGTAAGTAGATAGATACTCTCAAGATCACTTTGCCGTCGCTCAAAGTCCGTCCATAAATTATAGTTTTACCGTAATATTTAGTAAATACTTCATATGAAATTGTGATGCATGATACACTTTAAAAATTAGGACATTAAGAGTGAAAGATGTTATTTTATATAAGACATTAGTAGAATGTCAGTGGGCATGTCATAGTATGTCAGTTATTTTGATCAAATTGAAACTTTTCAATTACACATTTGTCAATCACCTTTTGAAATGTAATTCAATGAAGAAATCTATTTTCAGATTGTTCATTTTGAAACTGTACAATGTTTAACATATACATAAGTTATTAGTCTATGAATAGTTGTATTATAGTGAACATGAACATCAATGAAGTTAGTCAAGTGCATTTGAATACAAATTTATAGAATCTCTTAGTAAGATCTGAGAACTATACAGTAAATTATTCATTTGCAAAATGTTAATCATTTGTCTCAGACCTATTCTGTTTCCACATTCATCACTCTTTGTTCTCATTCTGTTCTCTTCTATCTCCGCAGTCTTCTGATAACATCACTTTTCATTGATGAACCATACTACTTATATCCGACTACATCAGAAGCATACATCACAGTATGATTGTTAAGAAGTTAATGAGTTTCAGCATGAAATATAACAACAGCTTTTAATTCATAAAAAGTTATAGAATAAATTACACCGTTGGATGCTGGCTCAATGGTGTAGAGGTTAAACGTTCGCGCATGAGACTGAAGTTCCTGCGTTCGAACCCAGCATGCGAGATCGTGAATGTGCATTTCTAAGGAGTCTCATAATAAGATTAAACGGCTGTTCACTGCTTCCAGGTTTTTAATAGTGATCTAACATTAATCGATTCATGATCTCTACCTGCTTTTATTTGTTGTAATACATCATTGTGACTATCAATCGCATGACCTATTCAGGCGCGTTGATGAAAATATCACAACCTATCTCTGTACAAGTTACGAAAATGTATCATAAGACATAGTGTCGGCTGTCAATATTCTTCGAAAAGAATGAACATTATGAAGATGTGAATTCATGAACGACTAACATCTAACTAGCGATCATCAAATATTTATCGTCAGGATCGATCAAGAAATAAGAAAAGAAAACTTTTCGAAGTAATTTGTTCTAAGAACTGTATATTGAACAGAGCCATCAATGATAATAATAATAACAATAATAAAAAATTCAATCAGTATTGTTTGTTTGGATCTTCCCATTGATGCTTTAGGACTGCAACTGGTCAGTCTCTAATTGGCATAAGTGCATACCGTTTAGCGTATTTGCATATTGCCTCGATATAGCCGAAATTCACAAGCATCTTAAGCGAAGATGGATAGTGACTAGCTGTGGAATCTAGTTCGACACGCGTTTAATCCTATTTGTTACTCGTCATCTGGATGTACCTGCATCTCCGAGTTGATGTTCACTCTGTGACTCGAACTCAGTACCTTTCGCGTTATTCACTCGGCCAGTGAGTCCTTGCACAATGAAGTGGCTATCAGGATCAATCTCTAACCTTTTTTACACTATCTTAAATTTACATTGTATGACCGACATCTTCAGAGACACTTTGTTAAACAATGGTTAGTATAGAGTTTTCCTAGTAACAGTGTGACTTTTATTTAAGCGCTGATGTGAAGCAACTCAAGAAAATTTATAATACATCACTAATGAAACGAATAACATTTTTGAAACAGGAATAGTTTTTTCATCTTAAAATCTACACCCACCATTCACCTGTGCCCTATTCTCAACAATCAGAAGCGCCGTTTTATTTGGTCAATAGAATACTCATGATCGGGTTCATAAAAGCAGTGTATTTCCTTCAGCAATATTAGTTGTAGTCAGAGTTGTTTTTAGCCATGTCTTTTTCAAGTAGTAAATCTGATATAATTTTCAGATAGTTGTTTGTAGGTGTAGGGTTCTCGATGAAAGAGTATCTCTTGAGACAACTGGGAGCTTATAAGAAGTTGATTTGCTGCGGTTTCATGATACGAGGAAGTCACTGAAGTACAAATGATTTTTTCACAGAATAAGTATACAAAAGAAAACGTAATGCTTAGCAACCGCTAAATTCAGAAAGGAAATAAAAGATTGTTTCAAAGTAAGTTCTTTATTCATTAGTCTATTAGTTGTGAATCCTTTTGTTGCGACTGATTTTTTGTATGAACATTTAGGGAATAGAATATTCGTCCAAGACATTTTCGACATGTGAAAACGTCTATTTGAACGAGCAAATGAAACGATTCTGAAAATCATTTGAAAAATTGACTTTTAAATCATAAAAGTCATAATATTTCCACATTCAGTTAAAATTAAGTATTCCTCATGGAATTCAACTAGTCAGATCGTATGGTATGGTGGCCTGTTTGAACATTTGGGCTACGTGTTCCTGCCATCTAGATATTCCAAGAAGAATTAGACGAATACAAATGTTTCGTCACAAAATTCATAGTTATTGTAAGGAAGAAAGTGTGGTTATGAACTACTTGCGCATATATATCTCAATGAAACTTAAAGTAATCACAGTTTTTGTAGTAGCCATATACTCAAATTGTAATGCTAGGGATACAGAAAAATAATACCTCCGTCCACCTAATGTTATTAATTTTTCGAAACATCCTAAAAAAGTCACACTACTTAATAAAATAAAAGTAACTTGAAAATGTTTCACGTTTTTTTAATATCAATATAGCTTCACTTAATCAATGAAGTAATATTCACCGTAGTTAGAAGAGAACAAATAAAAGAACCAATGATTTGAATAATATTATTTAATGATACGATCCTATTGTGGAATACTTCGGTTCGGAATAATTGTTCTCCTTTAGAAAAAGTATGATTATGCTAATTAAGGCTATATCGAGTCAATTCGCCCAGTATGGACTTATGCCAATAAGAGACTAATCAATTGCAGTCCTAAACATCAATGGGAAGATTCGAGCAAACAATACCAAGTGAATATAACTTCACCGCGATACACTATTGATTGGCTAACAGGGCTCGGTAGCTGAGTGGATATCGGGATGACGTTTGAATTGAACGGTATTGGGTTCGAGTCTCAGAATGTACATCAATTCCGGGATTCAGGTATATCCTGCTGACGAGTTCCGAATAGGGCAAAAAGCGCTTCCTGGATCCAACTGTTAGCCACTATACCTCTTTGCTTAAAGTGTGTGTATGAAACTATACCGTTTACAAACAATAAGTAAACAAATATTTTTTTCAAAAAAAGTCAAGCCCTTCTTCAAATCACCTTTGATGTTTATGAATTAAAATGTGAATGAAATCGACTTAGCAACTTTTGATGAGACAGAAACGAGTATTCTTCATAAAAGAAACTAATAAATGAGAATAAATACGGATTTTAATTTTTATTCTTTTCACTATTAATTAACCTCAACCATTCAAATGAAATTAAGTGATGGTTTGCAAATTAAACTAAGACGGACTTGAGTCGCAAGACATTGATCACCACACAGTGATCAATCAATTGTGATTACATCTAAGTCCTACAGGAGGTCGGTCGCGGCCCAAAAAAGCTCAGTTGTAACGTCTCTGACGGTGAAACTGTGTGACACGGGATTGAATCCGTCAAGGAGCACCAGTTCCCTCAAGATTACAGGTACACCTTGCTGACGAGTGCCAAGTAACACGAAACACGAGTCCAGGGTTTCCTGTTGACCACCTCCAACCATCATCTATTAATAACATAATGCCCGCAGTATCGATCCGCCTATAATAGTGGCGACATTGCAACTTGTTCGATAGCATTCGATCAGCACTAAGTCGGACTTGACACGCATGAAATTGATTGCCACCCAGTGATGAATCAATTGTGATCTCTTTTTTAAATGGGACAAAGGTGATTCGAAGACAATTTATGCTTTGAAAAATCAATCACACTTGATCAAACGCTGAAGTAATATGAAGAAAATAATACATTGTGTTGTCTGTAAGTGAAATAGGTGTAAATTATGAGTACAAATGTGAAGACAGTTCCTCTGTGTGGGGAGGAGACGTGGAGAACTACGAACACCACCATCCAGAAGATACAAGTGTTTATTAACAGTTGTCTGTGTAAGATACTTCGGATCCGTTGGTCAGACACTATCAGCAACATTCTACTGTGGGAGAGAACAAACCAGATTTCATTGGAGGAAGAAATCAGGAAGAAAAGCTGGAAATGGATAAGACATACATTGAGGAAAGTAAGTAACTATGTTTTGTAGTATTCCAGAATTTTCGGGAAAAACCAAGGATTTGTAAAATACTACTAAAAAACCATATATTTTTTGTACATGAATGAACATTCGGAGTTAATTGTTTCTCGCATATTATGCGCCTTTACTGTCGTGTTCAAGTGGCTGTGTAGATTTAGCTTGAGGCTCAAGAAAATAGCTTAGGAAACGAGTATAGCGTTTAATTAGTAGGACGTATCAATAAGTTTGATTGTAAGACCTTGAACCATTTGTTTTGTCAATGACTTATCCGGATCAAACAATGATTCTTGTTTTCGTTGTGTTATGTATATTCTGTATTTAAGTGTGATTCTTTTTTAAATAAAATAAATCACTATTCGCTAGTTAGTTGTTTTGTCTTCTGATATCGTTGTATTAGGCACACAGATCAGTTGTTCAAATTGATGTTTAATAATCATCAGGAAATGATCAAATGAAACTGTCAATCAAGTTCAACACTCATAGAAGTTAATTTTCTCACTGACTGTCTCAAAATGGTTCCGAATTACTGTTGAAGTCAATTTACACTATCAAGATTCATCAGATTTTTTTGAAAATAGATATGAAACATCTTTCTTTATATTTAGACTAAGTTTAGTCAAAGTATGAACCACGTTTCCTGAAGATTCCCTTGACACATGACTGATTAGTACTATTCAGTGTAATAATGCATCCATCTCTAGTTTTAGCTACGATCTCACTTTTGGAATTTAAAATGCCTTCTAGTAATCAATAATTTGGATAATAATTTGTAATGTACAAACATATTTTATTTCCATAGTTGAAATCATGAGTCAATTGTAGCTAGACCAAGATGAGAAACCTGGAACCACTGGACCGTCAACACGTCCTATTATGGGACTCTTCAGCAGTGCGCATCCACGATCCCACACTCGCGAGATTTGAACCCAGAACTTACCAGTCTTGTGACGGAGCACTTAACCTCTAGACCACTGAGCAGGCTGGCATCCAACGGTGTTAATGTCTAACTTCAACCGTTCACCAATTGTTTTCAGTGAGTTGATATCTTTACAACAGACTAGGTTGAAAATATTTTATCTTGTTGAAGATGTTATAAAACTAATAGGTCCGACAAGTATGAAAGAAACCATCTATTATTCTAGCTTTCTTACTGGTAACTTTCAATATCGTTAAATTAGTGTTTATGTTTATGCAATAGATATCAACTCTTCATCTCAATACTTCCTGTGTCTTACCACCTCCTGGCATGTTGTGGTTATTGACTCTTTAATTCTATTTCAATCGTAAGTAAACAGTGTTTCTTTTCATTTTAGTAGGTCTTGTAAAGCTTGTAGCCTGTTGCTGTGAGTTGTCTAAAACTCTTTAAGTATGTTAACAACTCAGGAGAATTTCATATTTCACTTTCATAATGCTGTCTGTTTGGTTATTTAATCCTTCAATGCATCCGTTTCAGCTTGACAACCACTAGGTAGTGATTTGAAGGTGTTATAACGTATAGATTTCTATGCCGACTAATATATATGTATATGTCCAATGATACAGAAAATACGTACGAACAGTACTGGATGCTATTCGGTCCTTCCTATCTGCCTAGTCCAGCCGTTAAGTCCAGAACACAAATAACAGCCTCAGCAATATGAATCATTATTTACAAGCATACTGGGTTATATATACTAACCAAACAGACCACATATATCAAAAATAGAAAAATAACATTTGTACAGTAATTGGCCAATGTGGCTGTAGCTAGGGGGAAAGTAATCAATAATAATGGTTCCAAAGTCAAAATAAAGGTTATGATAAGAGGAACACGGAAACGATTAGGTCACTTATTTAACAACTATCCAATAGGGAATGGGCATATTGTATTTGTCCATAAATAGACCTCAGATTTATGTTACTTATTTAACAACTATCCAATAGGAATAGGCGTATTACATTTGTCCATAAATGGACCTCAGATTTATGATTCATAATTCGCCAGGGGACATAACAGAAGGTAATGTCAGTTACTCTCTTGATCTGATTGTTCTATTTATTTGGGTGTCCAGAAAGCAAATTCATTAAAGAAAAAAAAACATGATTAAAGATTTTGTTTTCAAACAAAGTTGATTTCAAGTCAACAGAATCAACAATGGAAATGAATTAGTTGTCCAGAATTTCTGAATTTAAGACAGAAGTACACCTACCTTTTGGAATGGTTTCAATTACCTTCGAAACTGTTAGAAAGCATAATGAAAAGAAAACAAGAGATGATGTTATGAAAAAGACTAATAGACCAGAAACATCAGATTGGTCCTCAACAATCGGAAAAGCGTATATACATATGTAACAAGTTGGTTACCAACATACATAACAGATATGATTATTAATTTATTGATTAGAACAGTTTTCATTTTGGCAATATGTAATATTGTACAATCTACATCATTCTGTGGTTCACCGCCATCAGTGAAATTTGTAGACAACATATAATTGATTATTATTGATTTTTTTTTGGGATTTCAGGATCATACAATACCTTTACATCCTGATAATGTTGAACGACGGGATACGGCTTCAAGAAACTTGAAATTTTATATACATTTCACTCCAAATTTCCACCAATTGCAAGATCATGAAAAACTCCATGTAATTAAGATAAGATTTTTCTTAGTACAGTATCTTTTTTTGTTGTTTCTATGAGTGACAGTTTTTTGAGTTTCTTCTGACCAATATTATCTTTACTGAATATTTATTTTTTTAGACATATAAATATTGGTACAAAGGAGCACCAGATACGTAAGTGCCACACAACAAAACGTCATTTCATTTAGTTGTGAGAGAGCTATAATACTTCCCTAGTGCTCAAACCGAAGCAGATCGTTTTCTCAGGGGGCCACACCCGGAGCCTTTGACCTACAGGTTTGATCCAAAAAGTAGTGGAGCATCGTGAGGAGATGCAGTTTCATGGTAGCCGGTGACCAATGATTGATTCATACGCCAATTGTTCCCTCAGAATACTGAAGCCTATGTGCACCATTGGTTTGGAATCAGGGTTCTCCAATTCTCTTAGGTGGACTTTCCGTGTTCATTAATCCGGTTAAAGCATTGGACATTAGGTTTTCGTCTTCTCGATTTCATATACAACAGTAATGGCACGAGAAGGCAGTGGGTAGGACTCCACTGGTAAAGGCTGTATACGTGTGGCCGTGTGCCTCCCGCACTCTTGGCTGTACCAATGCATTCGAGGGCCATATAAGTAATATAATAAACATTTATGACAGCACTTTAATGAATACTATTCATACATTTTTATTTTGAAAAATACACTTGTACACTATAATAATGTAATAATTTATTTGTGTTATTTCACAATTTTTACAGAAATTCGCACTATATGCAATCAAGTTTTGAGAAGAAGCATTGACAATTAGGAAACCTGGAAGTGGAAAACAACTAGCAAAAAGGTAATTGCACTGTTAGCTATACTTTTACTTTCAATAATGTCATCATTAGCATTCTTGTCATATTATGTTTCTGATAAGGGAGGTATACGTTGGTGGAGTTTTTTTCCAGACGGGAATAATTCCATATACTGTCGTCAGTCGAATTGCAAACGTTATGTTATGTGCGGAGGTGTGAAAAATCCAGATAAATATGTCGGGGTGAGTATGAATATAGGCGTAATATATCCATCGTCATAAACATAGTTGATATTCAGAATGCATTAACGAGATAATTTATAAGTGATTGAAGATGTAAAATACGGAATACTCAGCAGTACGCATCCGCTGACGGGATTCGAACTCAGGATCTTCGGTCACGAGCACAAACATTTATACTATAAACCACTAAGCCGGAATAATGATAGAAGCAACATTGAAATCTAGTCTCCCTAGAAAAAAATATATTTGTATAATAAAACATCATAATTACAAACACTATTCCTCAAAATTAGGTGTATGGTTTTAGTGATCACATGCTTGTTAGTAAGTTCAGTGTTTATTATTAGGTCACTAAATTTTGTTTACTACAGTTGTTGACTGATATTATCAGAAGTAGGGTTTTCTGGAGAATTTAGTAATATCATATAGTTGAGATCATGAGTCAATTTAAGTTAAACCACTATGGAAAACCTGGAAGCACTGGAAGGCCCTTTCGTTCTATTGTGAGCCTCCTCATCAGTGTGCGTCCACGATCCCTCCGCGGTAAACAGTGGAGTTCAACCCGATCTGTTGGGAGATTTCAACTCACTGACGACATTGGTGAATGGTTGCTCAAAAACATTGTGGATTGGTTGAAGTTGGACAATAACACCATTGGATGCCGGCCAGCTGAGTGGTCTAGATGTTAAGTGCTCCGGCGCGAGACTGGTAGGTTCTGGGTTCGAATCTCGCGAGGCAGGATCATGGATGCGCACTGCTGAGGAGTCCCATAATAAAACGTGTCGGCCGTCCAGTGTTTACAGGTTTCCCATGGTGGTCTAGCTTCAATTGACTCATGATCTCAACTATATGATACAATAAGTAGTAATATTTTATTGTTTGTATTCAAAATATTACGATTTAATAATTCTTTTATGGTTATATTTCAGGAATGTTATCATGAACACAATAACAGATTATATAGATATTACAACAATGGAAGTGGAATACCATCTGCTGGTTATGTTCTACTAGTTGATGCCATAAATACAAAAACTTGTTCTGGTAGTACAGCAGCATATGCATCATCATGTTTAATGGATGAAGAAACAGATAGGTAATTAGATATGTTTATTAAGGTACATTCTTCTTAATTGAATAGTAATTCAGAATCAGAGAGCATGTAGTGCCGTGCTTCGTTAATCGATTACCTTGGTAACCGTTATAATACCAAACTTAACAGTGAGTAAAATCAGAAGGCAAAGAGAAGCGGCAACTACAGTTTATTGCAAAATAACTCAGACCAGAAAGCTATCATCATGTGACCGAATATCAACGAGCGAGCGAGCGAGCAGCTAGCGATAAGCAAGCAGTTATATAGGCAAATTACAGTCAAATTGTATAAAAGTGCAGCAAGACAAAACAAAAGCTAATAATAGGATTGAGTGCATACATATATGAGGAAACATCGAATGATATTTAAGCAATCAAGCAATCATTGTGGTTTGAATCTGTCATGTGTTCTAAAAATCATAACACAACAAAGATATATGCGAATTGTTACTATCCAAATGACAATGTCTGTAAAGTAATTTAATAAAAGAGCTTAACCAAAATTGACGATAATCGAAATTGATTGTAGGATGGTTGCTATAACCATCATTTGACATTCTTTTGAAATCATTCGCTTTCATTTGTATACTTTGAAGACAAATTCTTTTTAATTTAACTACTTTAAAGTCAAACTTTTACGATAAAATTGTGAAAGTTAAGGAATGACTTTATGATTTTTATCCATTGGTTAGATGTTTTTTCACTCTGTTTATTTGGAAATACATGTAAGTTCAAAGTACATACTTCCTTACGCCTGTTATCTTTCGTGGAGGAGCATCGACCGTCCACCAGCATTCTCTATCCAATTCTATCCTCAACAATCCTTTACACTTCTTTACAGTCAACATTCATCCTTTTCATATCTCCTTCTATTTCCCGGCGTAAAGTGTCTTTTGGCCTTCTGCTTCCCTTCACGAGTTCAATTTACGGTTTGCCTCGTGATGCAGTTGGGCGATTTCCTAAATGAATATCTTATCCCCTTTCAACATCTTTCCCCAATTTCCTCTTCAGATGGAATCTGGTTTGTGCTCTTCCATAAAAAGCTGTTGCTGATAGTAACCGGCCGGTGAATGTTGAGTATTTTCCGTAGACAACTGCTTATAAATACTTGTACCTTCTTGACGATGGATTTATTAGTTCTCCACGTTTCAGCTCCGTACAGTAGAACTGACTGTCTTGAAGTTCGTATTGAAGATTCTCACTTTGAAGTTAGTTGATAGTTGTTTTGAGTTCCATATGTTCTTCAATTGTAGAAATGCTGCCATTGCTTTGCCAATCCTTGTCTTTACATTTGCACCAGATTCTCCTTGTTCATCAATGATGCATCACAGGTACGTAAATGTTTCTACACCTTCTACAGTTTCCGCATGAAGTGTGTTGTGTTGGTGTTTTCTGTTTCGTATTTGCGAATCTTGCTCTTTCCTTTGTGTTTGTTGAGGCATATTGATGCAGAGGCTGCTACTTCATCAATTGTCTTCGTCTGTATTTGTTTGTGTATGAGATAGGAGGGCTAGGTCATCTGCGAAGTCCAAGTCGTCTAATTGGTTATGAGATGTCTATTGTTTTCCGTACTTCCTGTTAGATGTCGAGGTCTTCATAATCCAGTCAATCACCAGAAGAATGAAGAAGGGAGGTGAGTAGACAGCCTTATCTGTCTCCGGTCTTTACTGGAAATTCATCTGTCAGCTATCCTCTATGCACCACTTTGCACTGTAGTCCATCGAATAAGTTCTAGATAATGTTGACATTCTTCTCAAAAATTCTATATTGACGAACAAGCTTTCATAATGTTCTCCTGTCTACACGTTCAAACGCCTCATATTCAATGTAGTTGATGTATATTGACAAATTCCACCCAACTGATTGTTCAACGATTATCCGTAGTGACGCAATTTGGTCTGTGCACGACCGATCCTCAAGGAATCCAGCCTGTTGACCTCGAAATTGGGCGTCTACTGCGTCTTTCATCCGGTTCAGCAACGCTCTGTTGAAAACTTTCCCTGGTACTGACAATGTGATGCCTCTGTTATTCTCACATATGCTCAGATCTCCTTTCTTCGGTATCTTGATGAGGTATCCTTCCTTCCAGACTCGCGGTGGCACTTGTTCGTCTTCCCAAATTTCCTTGAATAAAAGGTGAAGCATGTTTACAGTTACTTCAATGTCTGACTTCAGTGCTTCAGCTGGTATATTTTCAGGTCCTGCCGGTTTATCACTCTTCATTTGTCTGATGGCCATCTTAACTTCCTCGATCGTTGATGCAGTGACAGATATAGGAAGTTCTGTGTCTGCTGCTTCGATGTTCGATGGATTCAATGGAGCTGATCTATTCAACAGTTCTTCGAAATATTTTGCCCATCTTTTCCTCTGTTCCTGAATCACCATGAAATTCCCACCCCACAAGTGCATTTCGGGCTTCTCTGGACAGCAATAGAGCAACCGCTGAGTGTGTAGAGCTTATTCCCCTTCGTGACCGGAGTACAGCAGCATTTCTTAAGTACATATCCTCTGTTGCTCAGATTGGGTTCAATGAGTTTCGCCGATTCTAAGTTCTGTCAATTTGTATCTCCTCATTTCCACTGCTATTTGACTGATCTTCCCTGTTTCCCACGTTAATCGGACGTTCCATGTACCTATAAAGAGTATTTCTCTGTTTATTAGAAAGAGGCAACGGCCTCGTGACTTCCGAAATATCTCGGCTTTCATCATGAGGCGTCATAATTATTTCTTCAACTGGAAAGGCAGAGTTTAAATGGTTTGAATTATTTCTTCTGGTTAGCGTTTTTTTAGCGAGTTTGTTTTTTATGCGGGATAGGGTCGCTAACCCAATGTCCAACCCTCCTCCTTTACACGGGCTTGGGACTAGCACTAACTCTAGAAGAGCTACAGGCGGAGTTAAGTTCAAAGTACACATGTATTATGTGAAACAGTTACTTACTTACTTGCACCTGTTACCCATAATGGAGCATAGATCATCGAGCAGCATTCTTTAATCCACCCCGTCCAAAGCCTTCCTTTTTAATTCTATACAATTCTTCTTCATTCTTCTCATGTCTGTCCTCATTTTTCAGCGTAACGTATTTTTTAGTATTCCTATTCTCCTTTGACATTCAGGATTCCATGTGAGGGATTGCCTTGTGACGCAGTTGCGTGTTTCCCTCAATGTGTGTCGCATCCACTTCCAGGGATTCTTCCTGATTTCTTCCTCCAGTGAAATCTGGTTTGTTCTCTCCCACAGTAGAATGTTGATGATAGTGTCTGACCAACGGATTCGAAGTATTTTGCTTAGATAACTGCAAATAAATACTTGTATCTTCTGGATGATAGCTTTCGCAGTTCTCCACGTCTCCGCCAGATACTGTATAACTGTCTTCACATTTGTATTGGAAATTCTGATCTTGGTGTTGGTTGGCATTTGTTTTGAGTTGCAGATGTTCTTCAGTTGTAAATATGCTGCTGTTGTTTAGCGAATCCGTGACCTCACATCTGTATCAGATCCACCGTGTTCATCGATCATGCTGTCCAGATATGTAAAGTATCTAAGCAATAGGAAACATGTTAATTTATTTCCATGAAACTGTCGCCTATGAAAGTTGAATCCGTCAGTAATAATAGTTCTGTTAACAACATTGTTTAAATCAAATTCGATTATCAGTACAATTCGTTCTTTAAACCATAAATTTTGTTTACAATTAATTTATCCCATTACCACAGAGAACTCATTGATTAAATTACATAAGATATAGTATTACAAAATGTACTACCAATCTATATTTAATGTCTATTGAACTAAACATTTAACAAAATTCTGGATAAATTTAAACTACAAAATGTGACTCTAATATAATTAGTTATTTTAGTACTTTAAAAGAGAACAATGCATCATTGTACTAAATAATAACGTATTGTGATTTGAGCTACTTATATTTGCATAAGTAGTATATAACGATAGTCGAAAATAGAAAGTATTTCATTAGGAGATAGACAAAGAATGAAGGGAAACGGAAAACAATTCGCATACAAATGCAGAAACAGGGAAATCTGAGACGATTGACTGATATTTTGCAAATGAAGTATTCACTGTATGATTCTCGGATTTTACAAAGATATTCTTGAATTTTGTCTTCAAATACATTCGATTATACCCGCTGGTGTTTGTGTTCACTACAATATGAATTTGAATGTTATCAATATTTCTTCATACTTCAGGCCAATTCTTGGATATGTAAATGTATGCCCAGGAAAAATGAGGATTAAATATCCTGAAGATCGAAATGCACGTGGAATTTTCATACATGAAATAGGTCATGCTCTTGTAATTTCATCTATTATTTGATCAAAACAAAGAATATATTTCATTGTATTGAGGAAACTGAACAATTTTATGAAAATATATATTGTTTTGACTTTATAACGAATAAAGAACGTATGACGATTTGTTATGATTCTATGTCCGGTTTTTTATCACGTGAATAAACCACCAATGGAAATACGACATTTCTGACCTTAACACTGTGACAAATAAAGGACGTTCAACGGGTATGAGCAGTCTAGTGTCCTTATTGGTCCCTTATCCACCCAGCCCTTCCAATTAAGTCCAGAACACCAAGTGCAGCTTCTGCTATGCGAATCATTTATTTCAAGCATGCTCGGTTTATATACCAGACAGACAGACCGCATCACATCATAAAATAGAAAAAATTATTTGTACCAGATCAAGCTAAATGTGGCTGTAAACATGGGATACAATAATCAATAAACTGAGTATAATTTGGAAAAAGTAAATCGTACAGTAATAACTCATAGGTCAAAATGAAGCTTATAATATGATGAATATAGATATACAAAATCTAATTACTCAATAGTTAAATAATCAGAATATATGTAGAATATTAGTCCAATAATAGGTCCTGGGAGTTACCTGTACTTATGTCTTCACAAGGATATGACATATCTGATATGTTATGCGTTTTCCATGAAAACAATACGTATCTTAATGTTGGACTTTTGGTTATGATCTCGTGACTACGTTAAACTAGCAAACAACAAAGTATAGAATAACGAGTCATCTCGATTAGTGGTGACTACACTGCTAACTAACCGATAAAATTCGAATAACACTAAAGGCTAAATGCACATGATATAATTAGAAGGGGTTTTGTGGAGATTTCAGTATTTTCATAGTTGAAATCATCAGCCAATAAACTACTATGGAAAACCTGGAAGCATTGTACGGCCATTTCGTCCAATTATGGGACTCATCTGCAGTGCGCATCCATGATCTCGCCACGTGACACGACATAAGTTATTTATAAATTTATAAATTTAAGTAAATATTTTACTTGTTTTACATTTCTATTCTAATACATTTATTGATGAATATAGATTGATGTCTAATAATGTAAGAGAAAACTTTCATATGAAGTGGTTTTTGAATCATATTGAAAATGACCCAGTTACAATCAGATTAGTTATGCTATAATACACTTTATTTGTGGAATCATTTATGATTTCAACCACAATGTTACTAAAATCTCCACGAAAAACCCCTTCTTATAATAATCAAATGCTCACTGGTGACTGGCTCCATGAGGTATTCCCTGGAGTTCTAGTAAGAAGCAGTGACCAATAACACCGTTGGATGCCGGCTCAATGGTGCTAGCGGTTAAGCGCTCGTGCACGAGATCGGTAGTTCGTGGGTTCGAACCTCACGAGACGGGATCTTAGGTGCTTAATTCTGAGCCACACAATAGAACGAGTTGACCATCCAATGCTTCAAGGTTTTCCGTTATGGTCTAGCTTTAATTGACTCATGATCTCAACTATATAAAATCACTAAAATCTCCACAAAAGAACCCCTTCAAATAATCTGTTATAAAGTTCATTAGCAAGAATATTAATTTGCCTAGTAAGTGAAAAATTATATTGAATAGAAGTGAGTTTATGAAATTCCCTTTAAGTATAGAGAAAATCAAGTAAGTTGATGTTATTGTTCGTGATATGTTTGTATTTAAAGTATAAGTAGATATGTAGAAGCTCATAGATACTATTCTGGTTATTTATAGTTACTATTTAATATTTTTTTAAAATTTATTATACTTTAGGGATTTTCATCATCCAGCTTTCCTTTTATGCGTTTTCCAAATGGGACAGCTCGAACTCCAAGGGACGCGACAAATAAACCAATTTACAAAGATCAACATGATCGTTATCTTCCAAGGTGAGGATGTCATGTTTCTATATATTCAACAAATAGAAACTTAGGATAACTTTAATACAGAAATAGCTTGATTTTATATAAATGTACTATTTGTCATTGTGTAATGAATGAGAACCTAGGTGAGGACAACCGTTTATGTAATCAGCACAAATTACAAAGTCCCTTGATAAAATACAAAAACCACGCTCTGATATTCTATTTGCAAAGTGTTCATTGATTGTCTCAGGCTTCATTGTTCCTGGATTTTCACACCAATTGCTTTCTATTTCTGTTCTTCTCTTCTCGATCTTCTCAATCTTCTGCTGCCAGATATTCTATTCCTCACTCACGACATATACTACTCATGTCGGTATGAGTAGTCTAAACCACAAATGTACCAAATAAATTACTGTTTCATATATAATAGTATAAAATTTGATCAGTTAAAACGGTTAGTAAACCAACTTTATACAAATTTGATCGGATATCATTTAACTGGATCATTGCTAAAAGCATGTTTAGCATTAAAAAAAGTCACTTCTTACAAACTGCAATAAATAAGATATCTTATCAATCTTGCTTTTAGTATCATTAGGTGACTGGAATTCACTATTAGATTTATAATAATAATAATAATAATAATATATTCTGAAAATAATATTAACAGAATTCACACCAGTTTACAGGCATGATCAGATTGTTATAAAAATCAACATTTAATGTAGAGAACAAACATGAATTATAAGAAGGTTTTATGTTTGCTGGTTTAGTAATTGATAAACAGTTTAAATATGGCATATATCACGGCAAGCCAATGCAACACCAGGGAACTTGTCATTTTTTCATCAAGTGGATAGCCTGATGATTGACCAACATTATTCTGTAAGGTTGTTACCAGTGCCAGAGCGAGTTATTATTAATTATCTACAACTAGAGAAAGTAAGATTAAAGCAAAGAGCACGGAACAACAAAACAATGATAGCAAGTAAGAGGTTAAACATTTAAAGTTCCTATAATCTCACTTGTGGAGTAAGATGCACTTGCAGGCGCTAGAGCATTTAATGCATTTTCAGAGGAGCAAAAAGCATTAATTGAGCGAAAAAACAATGGGAGAGAGTTTAACATACGGATAGTTTGGGGTAAATTATTCCATAGTCTAGAAAACTTACAGGTAAAGTAATTCATATAGAGAGAAGACCTAGAATATGTTTGTTTCGCTAGAGACTAGGAGTTACGAATGTCGTAATGTGAAGCCTTAGCATATTGAATCGCCTGACTGGATGTGAAGGAGAGTTTGTTAAGTATTTTGAAAAAGAAGATAAGGTTAAGTTTCAGTCTCCTCATCCATAAAGGGTCAAGCCCTAGTTTACTACACCTCGAATTATATGTCAAGACACTATCAGGTCCAAGAGTACGAAGTGTAAATCGTCTCTGTACTGATTCCAGTCTTAATTTATCCTTTATGCGCGTGCTACTAAGGAGAAACGCGCAGTATTCGAGGAGTGGTCGAACACAGACTTTGTACATTAGAATACGGGATTCGCTGTTATGAAGGTTTCGAGTTATGAAACCTATAAGGCGTTGAGACTTGGACGTTTGTTTCATTACCTGTTCAGTAAACGACAAGTCATCGGAGTACCTAAGTCCTAGATCTACTACTGTGTGTAACCTAGATAACATTTCCCCATTTATGATAAGATTAAGGTTGAGTTATGTATCACCGAAGCATAGCCAACCACATTTAGCTGTATTGAGCTCCAGCTGCCATTTTGAGCACCACTGTGCTACCTTGTTAAGCTCCATGCTGATGCAATTTCGAATATTGCTCAGCTCATGTGGAGAAAATGAGTACACCACCTTAAGATCGTCTGCAAACAAAAGGGACTTACCCACACTAAAACACTCATAAATACCATTAATGAAAACTAAAAAGAGCAAAGGACCTAAGACACTACCCTGAATTACCCCACTTCTAACAGGGACTGCGTTCGACAATGAAGAGTTGATTTTAACTATTTGATGTCGATTGCTGAGGAAGGAATCAAACCAGGCTAGTAACGGGTTTTCGACCCCATATAATGCCAGTTTACCTATGAGAAGTTGGTGGTTGACAATGTCGAAGGCCTTAGAAATGTCCAGGTATAGCACTAATACTAGATATCCTTGGCTACGAAGCGAATAGACTAAATTAAAGAAGTCAAAGTGACATGACATACAGGATCGATTTTTAAGAAATCAATGTTGCAAATCATCAATAAATTGTTCAGTCAACAAATAATTGGATAGTTCGTCACTAATAATTTTTTCCATAATCCTAGAGATAACTGGAGTAATATTTATTGACCGATAGTTGTTCATGACAGTCTTATCTCCGGATTTGTAACGTGGTATGATGTACGCGGTTTTCCAACGGTCAGGATAAGAGCCTGATTACATAGAGAGGGTAAACAGTTTAAGGAGAAGAAGTTGGATATCTGGACCACCATATTTGTAGAGAAATGATGAAATCCCGTCTGCACCGTGACCTTTCGAAACCTTGAGGTTATTTATAACCTTACTAATTTTCAGACATGTGAAGGAGATACATTTAATTGAGTTACCAGTCATACAGATAACTCTAGAAACAGAGCCATTTATGGATTCTTTGTCATTTGCAAAATTACCCCTGAAAAGGTCTGCAATAGCTCTTGGTCATATATACAACTATTACTATGCAGGATGCATAGTATATCAACATTTTGAGTTGATTTAGCACGTTTATTGTAAAGGTGGATTAGGTTTTGCACTTTTGAGCTAGTACTTAGTGCTCTTCATTGATGGCTTTTAACCATTGTTTCTCTTTAATTTGGTTAAAAATTATTGTTATTTGTGTGACTGCGGTGAAGTCGTTAGATTTAAAATAACGTTTCTTTAGGCGTCTTAGTTTATTACTATATTTAGCTGGTATATATAATTCGTGATGTTTACTAATCCTGTAAGACTTAATTGGAGCACAGGAGTCTAGACAAGAGTTAACAATCAAATAGAATATGTTGATGGCATCTGTCAGACTATTACATGAGAAGAATTCATCCCAGTCTGAGAGTTTGATCAGTGAGCGCAAGAGGTCCCATTCTGCATGCTTATAGTCTCTATAA